TACAGAATACAGACAGAGAATTGTATAAAAAGTTCCCTAAACAGGAAATAATCTGCTCAAAACTCATCCTAATCTCCGGTTTTGTCATCATCATTGTACAGTTTTTAATATAACATGAAATATCCATAAAATATATCACTTAATGAGGAGTCACCTGTTAATTAAATGATACAAAATGGGTCCCTTAAGGAAGAAGGTTGAGCACCTTAATCTACTTATTGTGAATGAAATGTGCTTTATAAATAAACTGCCTCACAATGCATTAAAGCACCAGCACACAGGATGAGCTGAATCATTACAAAGCATCAGCTGCAACTCCAAAACTAAGCTTTCCATCAACTGCTCATATTCAATTAAAGCACGAAAAGGACACAAATGTGCATTTCAGACTTCTTGTAAAGACCATGAAGGACATGTTTCACACGCAGGGACGAGCTGCGGACAGTGTTGCTGGGTAAAGACTCAAAAACGCCCTTCCCTGAATGACTTTACTGGGTTGTGTACTGTCTCCACTACACACCAAATCCAGTATTTTTCCATCAAGTAGCGCGCTGCACCACGTGATCACAAAGGAGGAGAAAAAAAAAAAAACGCTGTCATGTTTGCATCCTCAATTGACAGCCGTGCACGAGGTTATATACGGATCCCAATTAGCCCAAAACACGCACACACAGCACGCAGCTGCACCGCGGGTCCGTGCTGCGGACTCACGCTGCACTTTGATGCATCGGACCAACACTTTTGGTGCTGTTGGGAAACAAATCCTCTCCTCCAGGTCGTTTTTCTAACCCCGTGCGTTCATGATCATGTAACCACTCCCACTCGTGGCTGGTGGAAAATTACCAGCTTACAAGCAACAGGCAAATGAATGGTACATGCGGTTTATCACATCAGTGAAAGCTGGGGGGGGGGGACACACACAATAAAACCAACAAATAAATAAAAGTGTTCGTGCATGAAACTGCCACTGTGCTGTATTAAAAAGTAGCATTAAATCGTTGTGTTGCGTTAGTTTGGCGCCTCTGTGTGCACGTTTTAACGCATAATGCTTACATTAAAGGAGCTTAATGTGTAACTGAACCCTCGGGAGACGCTATAAACATTACTTATTCGCTGTTCTGATAAGCGGGAGTCCAGAACAAGTCCATTTCCACCGGGGAGTCTGCCCTCTTTTTCTCTGCGGGCAGGAGCAGACGCGTGGGCGCTTGAGCGAATTGAAACAAACCGACAGCCGCGGCAGCCAATCACACGCCGAGTAGGACGTCTCCTCCGCCGCCGCAGCCAATCAGAGCGCGGAGGGGGCGTGACCCGCGGTCCAAACTTTACGCGGCGCCATCGGCTGCAAACTAACCCGAGATGGAATCTCCCGGTCTGAACCGGTTTCAACCGGTTGCGAGTTAGTCGTTAGAGAGGAGCGAGGAGGCGTCAGACCCACCGGAGCCCCGACCGTTACCTCACCGGAGCGCCACATTACCGGACGATGAACCGGAGCGACGCGTCGCCGTGATCGTCGGAACCCGCCAGTTGTATTTATTGATATTTAAACCCATTAAAGCTTCTTCCCGGGCAGTTTCCCCCCCCCGCCGCGGCTCCAGGTAGGGCTGACCCGACCGACTCACGGCTGCTTGTTCTGTCACTGTTTGTTTGTTTGTTTGTTTGTTTGTTTGTGTTTAAATCTTTTCTGGTTGTTTGTTTTTTTTGTTGTTAGTTTTTTTTTTTTTAACGCGTTAGCATCCGTGGCTAACGCGGCTAGCTTCGCGTCAGGATGCGCGAGCTGCTTTTAACGGAACCGAAACTGGAGAACAGCAACGGACCGGATCGATAAGCTGATCGATCAGTAACCTGTTCGATCAGCTCCGTTAATGTGTGTGTGTGTGTGTGTGTGTGTGTGTGTGTTAGCATTAGCTCAAACTTCCCCAACAGGCGGTGAGGTGGATGTTAGTCTGATCCACCGGGGGGGGGCGGACCACATGGGGGGGGCACGTGTGTGTGTGTGTGTGT